GCTAGACACACCACAAGTTATACTACCTTCTAGATACACCACAACTTATACTACCTGCTAGATACACCACAACTTATACTACCTTCTAGATACACCACAACTTGTACTACCTTCTAGATACACCACAACTTATACTAGATGCCAGACACACCACAACTTATGCAACCTGCTAGATACACCACAACTTATACAACCTGCTAGATATACCACAGCTTATAGAACCTGCTCGATACACCACAACTTATACTACCTTCTAGATACACCACAACTTATACAACCTGCTAGACACACCACAACTTATACAACCTGCTAGATATACCACAACTTATACAACCTGCTAGATACACCACAACTCATACTACCTGCTAGATACACCACAACTCATACTACCTGCTAGATACACCACAACTTATACTACCTTCTAGATACACCACAACTTATACTACCTACTAGATACACCACAACTTGTACTACCTGCTAGATACGCAACTTATACTACCTTCTAGATATACCACAGCTTATACTACCTGCTAGATATACCACAGCTTATAGAACCTGCTCGATACACCACAACTTATACTACCTGCTAGATACACCACAACTTATACTACCTTTTAGATATACCACAGCTTATATTACCTGCTAGATATACCACAGCTTATAGAACCTGCTCGATACACCACAACTTATACTACCTGCTAGATACACCACAACTTATACTACCTTCTAGATACACCACAGCTTAAATACCTGCTAGATACACCATAATTATACAACCCCATCAACATGCAACCCTGTAAATATACAACATAATAGAACACTACATCAACATGCAATCCTGTAAATATACCACAACCTATACAACCATCCAGTTATACCACAACCTATACAACACTCCAGTTATACCACAACCTATACAACCATCCAGTTATACTACAACCTATACAACCATCCAGTTATACTACAACCTATACAACCCTCCAGTTATACTACAACCTATACAACCATCCAGTTATACTACAACCTATACAACCCTCCAGTTATACCACAACCTATACAACCATCCAGTTATACTACAACCTATACAACCATCCAGTTATACCACAACCTATACAACACTCCAGTTATACCACAACCTATACAACCATCCAGTTATACTACAACCTATACAACCCTCCAGTTATACCACAATCTGTACAACACTCCAGTTATACCACAACATATACAACACTCCAGACAAAAATAAAAATCAACTCCCAGATACACCACACCCTATGCAACTCTCTAGATACACCTTAGCTTTACATATAGCTATGTGTTAATCAAGGTGAACTAATGGACAATGATCCTACAAACATCTCTCTCATTCAGTAGTTTTGTATTCGATTGACACAAATAGGGACCATGCATTGGAACATAACTGTTTTTGGATGCATTTAAGATGGTCACTCTGAAATACCTGATTTGATTATTCAAATAGATATTTATTGATCCAACAGTATCATTTGATCACCATTTTGGGTGCCATTACAAGAAAAAAACTGAATAATTTTGTTCAAAATGCCTGTTTTGAGGACATACGTTCACCATTTTGGAAGACTACATTTTAATGTGAGATTACCCAGAATATTCCACATCTCCAAAGTGACTGCAGTGATCAAAATCATTGTTATGGTCACTGTGCATGGCTTTCATCAGGGGGATCGTCTGTCGAAATTATGATACTAAGCCCCTATCACAGTCCATGTATGCAAGGCTATAGATACACCACAACATACGCAAGCCTCCAGATACACAACAACCCAGGATATCCTCCAGATACACCACAATCTATACAACTGAATTTGTTAGATACAGAACATATGCAAACTTCTAGATACATCATAGCTTATGCCACTCTCTAGATACACCACACCGATGTTCTCACTAGACATGAGACATTTGCCTCATATGTTTTTTTCCCAGTTTTTTTTTAGGCCAATTGTTTAAAAAAAATTAAAGTAATTTTTTTATAACAGACAATTCATGAACATTCATTGAAAACACTATGTCTGTGAAGTCACACATGGATGGGTAATTGTCTTGTACTTTCTAAACTGATAGGACATTTTTAAATGCTGGTGGGCTCACTGCACCACAACCTATATGATCCTCTAGAAACACTACAACCTATGCAAACCCTAGCTGATTCATTTGCATTCCTGTTTGAATTTTTTCAGAAAAAAATGCGTGTTTCCAGTAAAAGCAGTGTTGAACAATTGCTGGATGAGCTCGTGAAAGCTAAGGTGATTGAAGATTATTGTGTGTCTGTGTACAATGCACAGTCCCAGAAGCTGAAGCTGAGAGACAAAGTTGGAAAGTGTTTGAAAGATGGACAGCGAGTAATTGTAAACACTATTGGTAGTCCTGCGTGCTTAATCAAAAATGCTGTTCATTCTACTGAACCAACATTTACCATTAGATCAACTTCACGAAGAAAGACAGTTAAAAAGCAAAAATCTAATAATAAAATTGAACATTCTAAAACAGTTATTAGTGAACCTAAAATTGTAGACCACGAAACTGAAAATGCTGGAATTGAGGATGATGTTGGACATCCAATAAGAAAAGTGAGAAGCAGAAGAAAAAAAAATACAGATGGTCCAAGATTTGAACAAAAGTCTGCTGCAGGGATTGATAGTCAACAAAAGTTAGCCCCTGTGTGTGATGGGTTGTATGACACCAATTTACATAATGATGTGGGGAGCAGTGATGATGATGTTGTCATAGTAAAAATGACAGGAGAAAAAGACATTTCAAAGAAAAAGTTGATCTCTAACATCAAAGGTAAGGAACACATTGAGGGTTGAATAACTTTGCAATTAAATTTTCACTGGCATTAAGGGGGCTTACTTTGTCCTGGCAGCTGGTAAGAGGCTTTCTTGTCTGTTTGTATCAAGTTTTGTGCTGGCAGTTGGATGGAAGCATCCTTAGCTTTTCAGAAAAACAACCACATTCATCAGAAGGTGCCATTAACTGCAGAATTTAATGTCTGATATTTTTTTTTTACTGTCACCACCATATTGTTCCGAACAAACAAGCAACATTGCCAGGTATGTTGCTGACTGGTTTGCTAAGCGTGCTTGGAGATCATTACGCGATTAGAATAAGTTGGGTCATACCAACTTCAATAGGAGATGTCAAACTAACAGGGAATAAAAGATCATGATACGATTGCCTTTCAATTTATTTCATTCAATCGTATAAATTTCAATATAATAACTGGCAAAGTTATTACTGACATGGTCTGAAATGTCAGGACACAGTCGCTGGTGTGTGTGGCATTTAGAAAAACGGCACACCATTGATTGAGTGCTTAGTAAACCAGTCAGCAACTTAGCTGGCAATGTTGATATTTTGGTGTTCGTAACAATATGGTGGTGATAGTAATATTTGATATGTTTAATTTCATTGGATTAATCAGATGAGATAAATCTGACCACGTAACATCTATTTTTTCTTCAGATTAAACAGATGAATTTTCATCTGATAAATTTAATTTGTGTAATCCAGCTTTTAGTCAATTGCACAAACTGGATTGGTTGATGATTTAGTAAGTAATTGTAGTGTCCAGTGGTACATCTAGGCATAGTAGGTATTTTCAGTCTCAGGCTTTGACTTCATAAATTCTATATTGGTACACGTTAACAAGTTGGTAGTGTTTTGAAAGGTGTACAAAACCCATGTACTGGACAAAGTTATTGATATATTTACAATGTTGTATTGCTTTGTGCATTTCTGTACGCAAAGGATTATAAATTATCATACAGGTAGACGTCACACTATGGTAATATACATTTTATGAATTATATATATATATATATGATATGGTAGAAGACTGCTTGCAGAGTTTATATGGTCAGGTTTGCCACTACTGAAAATGTGGGCTATACAATAAAAATGATATGTACTAGATATAACTATTGATAAATTAGATTTACAATTTCCCATCCTCTGCCTGACCAGAAATGAAAATCCATTTACATTTTTCTGACCCGTAAGGATGTAGTAGAGGTTTTTCAGGAGTAAAATACTTACTGTATTCATAGTGAGATTGGTTACATTGTTTTGTCAAAAACTATCCTCAAAGACATCCAAAATCACATTTTTTTTGACAAGCGAGTCTGAAAATGCTCATGTCACAGGAAACAGACCAACAGAGATTATGTTAATCATGTTTGTACAATGTATAGTAACTGTATCTTCTACATAGGCAAATCAAGACCTGAAAACAGTTAGATTCGGTTTAAATGGCAATTGCCGACCATTGTAATCACCAACTAAATTACTAATGAGTGGAAATTATAGCTTTATATTATCTACAACATATAACCATGGTATCTCACTGTCAGATATTACCGCAACTACTATGGTTTGTCGTCCATTGTACATTTCGTCCATTTTCCTGCAATTCAATATTAATGTAAAATAATATTACTCGGCAATATAAATGAACAATATGTCTTCGGGATTCTTTTATAAATTTACACATTGTCAAGATTTTACTGCCCGAATGTAAAAACGGACACCGCAGTCTAGTAAAACACATACTTAGATCTGCTGAACAAACCAGAAAAGTTGCATTTTAATTTCTTCACAATACTGATTCAAAATCTCAATTATTGATTTATTTTCTTAACAATCATGTGGCTAACTAAAATATATACCGGTAGTTTGAAATAATTTAGAACACCTTATTTGGGAATATATTTACTTTACTTCTGGGAAAACTCCTTAATATCCTTATTTAACGCTTTCTCTCACTGAGTTCCCCTAAATAAATACCCATTTTAAATTTTCTGATCCTTAATATTGTTATTTAAAAGTTTCTCTCACTGAGTTCTTCCAAACAAATACCATGTCTATTGTATTTGAATATTATAGCAACATCTTTAAGGTTTATATATCTTTATTGCATGTGTATAGTTTATCTCAGAAGACATCAACATTTGAGTAAAATAGATGTAAACTATGTGATTGCAGAGATGCAAAGAATCTTTGAAAGAGACCTGTCTGACAGGTAAGTGACATCTACACTCATTACTACTTATCAATATGATATCAACATGTGAGTAAAATAACTGTGTTAATAAATCTCAGCACATGATCTATACTGTTGATAGATGCAATCACATTTAATGTTTCAGGTATAATCTCATAGAGTCCATTGTTCATAATTTACTGGATAATCCAACAACCTGGTTAGAGGAGGATCAAAGAATGACAGCATACGCTGCAGTAGTTGGCTCCTATCAATTGTCATCTGAAGATCTGCACACACTACATGGAAGTAATTGGTTGAATGATAATGTAAGCAATCTTAATCTGCAGTATATATTATATT